ACACCAATGACTGAAAACCAGAGGAATTGTGGGATAACATCAAGAATGTCATCCATAAAGAAAGCAAAAGATAATTAAAAAGACAGGAAAGGAAGAAAAGACCAAAATGGATGTCAGAAGAAGCTCTGAAACTTGCCCTTGAGCAGAGAGTAGCTCAATCAAATAGAAGAAATGACAAGATAAAAGAGCTGAACAGAAGATTTCAAAGAGCATTTCGAGCAGACAAAGTCAATTACTATAATGAAATGTGTAAAGACCTGGAGTTAGAAAACTAAAAGGGAAGAACACACTAGGCATCTCTCAAGCTGAAAGGACAGAGGAATAATTTTAAACCTCAAATTGCAATATTGAAAGATTTTGTGGGCAATATGTTGAATGATGCAGGAACCATCAAAAGAAGATGGATGGAATACACAGAGTCACTATAGCAGTAAGAATTATTAGATGATCATCCATTTCAAGATGTGGCATATGATCAAGAACCAATGGTATTGAAGGAAGAAGTCAAAGCTGCACTGAAGGAATTTGGTAAAAAACAAGCTCCAGAAACTGACGGAATACCCATTGAGATGTTTCAACAAATGGATGCTGCACTGGAGGCCCTCTCTTGGCTATGTCAAGAAATTTGGAAGATAGCTATCTGGCCAACTGACTGGAAGAGATCTATATTTGTACCCATTCCAAAGAAAGGTGATCTCACAGAATGTGAAAATTATCAAACAATATCACTGATACCACATGAGTAAAATCTTGTTGTTGTTGTGTGCCGTTGAGTTGGCCCTGACTCATAGTGGACCCCTCCTTGGGTTTCCGAGGCAGTTTCACTACAGAAGTAGGATTGCCCAATCTTCCTTCTGAGGAGTACCTAGTGGGTTTGAACCACCAGCCTTCTGGTTAGCAGTCAAGTGCCTTAGGCACTATGCTACCAGAGCTCCTGAGTAAAATTCATCTGACGTTAGCTATGATATCCCTCGCTCCACGTCCTTTACTGAATCCAGCTTGTATTTCTGGAAGTTCTTTGTCAATATACTGCTGCAACCATTTTTCTTCAGAGTAAAATCTTACTGAAGATAATTTAAAAATGGAATCTCCAGAAATACAAGCTGGATTCAGTAAAGGACGTGGAGCGAAGGATATCACAGCTGATGTCAGATGGATCTTGGTTCAAAGCAAAGAATACCGGAAAGATGTTTACTTGTGTTTTATTTACTATGCAAAGGCATTCATTTGTGTGGATCATAACAAATTGTGGATAACATTGAGAAGAATGGTAATCCCAGAACACTTCATTTTGTTCATAAGAAATTATATGTATTCATGTACATAGACCAGGAGGCTGTCATTTGAACAGAACAAGGGGATACTGCATGGTTTGAAATCAGGAAGGGAGTGTTTCAGGGTTGTATCATTTCACCATACTTATTCAATCTGTATGCTGACCAAATAATCCAAGAAGCTGGACTATATGAAGAAGAACGTGGCATCAGGATTGGAGGAAGGTTCATTAACAACCTGAGATACACAGATGACACAACTTGCTTGCTGAAAGTTAGCATGACTTGGAACACTTACTGATGAAGATTAAAGACTACAGTCTTCAGTATGGATTACACCTCAACATAAAGAAAACAAAAATCCTCACAACTGCACTAATAAGCAGCATCATGATAAATGGAGAAAAGATTTCATATTACTTGGTTCTATAAGCAACACCAATGCAAGCAGCAGTCAAGACATCAGACAATATATTCCTTTGGGCAAATCTGTTGTAAAAGACCTCTTTCAAGCACTGAAGGGCAAATATATCTCCTTGAAGACTAAGATGCGTCTAATCCAAGCCATGGATTTTCAGTCGTCCCTTACGCATGTGAAAGCTGGACAATGAATAAGGAAGACCGAAGAAGAGTTGATGCTTTTGAGTTGTGGTGTGGGAGAAGAATGCTAAAGTGGAGAGTCAACAAAAGAAGAGAAGGCCCTCAACCAGATGGATTGACATGGTGGTGCAGCAATGGGCCCAGGTATAGTAGGGATCTTGAGGCTTGCACAGGACACTGGGCACTGTTTCGTTCTGTTGTACATAAGGTCACTATTAGTCAGAGACAACTCAATGGCACATAACAACAACAACAACATTCTTCTCTCTGACCCAAGCAATTTAAACCCAATGATTCTAGTTCATAGAAAAATAACCAGATAATCTTAGAGACTTAAAGCTCAGCTGATGTGGCCTATGGGGCAGTCACTAAGTTTGGTCTGTGTGAAAATATGCTGACTAATTGTGGGGGCAATATACTCCCTTGGCAAAAAGGACAGGGAGTTGTGACATAATCAGAAATAGTAAAGCAAAAGAAGGAAGACTGGAGTGATGAGAGGAGTACAGGAAAGAAGAGTGCCAAATGAGAGGGAAAGAGAAAGTAGAAATGGTGTAATACAAAAAAAGAGCAGATATGAGAGGATTCTGGTAAGAAATGAAAAAGACACGTTTGCTGTCACAGTTGGGGCTAAGGACAGCAAGGATATCATGTAACTGGAAGAAATGGGAAGGCTAAGCTAAAGAAACAATGAAGAGGGCTTCCAGCCACACTAGTTAATTAGATAAAACAATGAAAGTATCTTGAGCATTTAAATAGGCCTGATAAGGAAAAGGGAGCGGCATACATAGGATCTCAACTCAAAGACCAGAGGATTCTTAAATAAAAGGGTAGGGTCATGAGGGCAGTGAGCTCAAATGAAAAAAAAGGGGAAAGCAGCTGTTAGAAAAAATCCTGTAAGACTAACAGTGAATTCGGGCTTGAAGAAGGAATGAAAAAGACAGCTCTATTCTATAAATGAGGAGCTCTGGTGGTACAGTGGTTAATGAATTCAGCTGCTAACCAAAAGGTCTGTGGTTGGAACTGCAGGAGAAAGATGAGGCAGTCTACTTCCAAAAAGATTTCCAGCCTTGGAAACCCTACAGTGCAGTTCTACTCTGTCCTATAGGGGTCACTGAGTCAAAATCAACTCTATGTCAATGGATTTAGTTTACAAATGTACTCCAAGTTAGGGAGAAGTCCACAACCTCTTAAAGGAGAATGAGTGCCAAATGGTCATTCTAATTTTAGGAGCGATGGAGTTAAATTAGGCTAGCCTGTAATATGCTCAACATTTTGAATATATGGAGGAAACCTTACACTCCTAGAAAAAAAAAAATCATCTTTACCACTTACACAAACACAAAAAGAATATACAAATCCCTTGTGTACACAAATTTTAGTGTAGATCAAAACAAAGTGGTATTGTTGTTGTTGTTAAGTGCTGTCAAGCCGCTCCGGACTCATGGCAACCCTATGTACAACAGAAGAAAACACTGCCTGTCTTGCGCTCTCCTTATAATCGGTGCCACGTTTAAGCCCATTGTTGCAGCCACTGTGTCGCTGCATCTCATTGAGGGTATTCCTCTTTTCCACTGACCAAGCATGATGTCCTTCTTCAGGGACTGGTCTCTCCTGATAATGTTGTAGGAACAACAAGGTCCTTATCCCCTGTGGCGAAAAGCCAATGATCACAACAGGTTTAAGCAGGAAAGCAAAAGGTTTATTGAGTATTGATACCCAAGGAGACAGAATCACTTCTCTAAGATGTCTGTGTCCTTGCGCAAAGGGGTAAACATGATAGAAACTTTTCCTATAGGGAAATAGGAAGGGGGTTGAAGAACCCTTGGACTGCCAGGAATGCCTTTGTTCCTCTCTTCCCTGGTTACTCTGGACTCTCTACCTCTTCCCTGGGTCCTCTTGCTTCAAAGGCTACATTCTCAGCTGAAATCAGCCATGGGAAAGCAAAAGGGAGGGAAAAATAGCAAGTTAGTCACTATGATTAATGTCTACTAGTTTGTTAAAGTTCTGCAGTTTTCAGTGAGAGGCCCCTCCTGTCTTCCAATTCAGCCTTCCACAATAACATGTAACATTAGGCACCAAATACCTTAAATGATGAAACGTTACTCCTGTTCATTTTAGCTGCTGGAGCAATCACCTAACACGTAATCACCTTAACGTGAGGCAAATTTGAAGGAATAAGAAAGGCCAAAACCGACACTGGCCAGTAACCTTCAAGGTGATTTCTTTTTATCAGTACAGACTTAGGTGTACTTGGATCCCTTGGAAATGGTGCCCCAGGAGTGGCCCTGGCGGTTTCTCCCCATTAAGGGAGAAACTTGGTTAGGATGCAAAGTGAGCGCGCCCCCCCCCCATATTGCATCAGAGAATCCGCAAGGTCTCCTCCACAGTACTAATAAAGAAAGGCATCTTGTACAGAGTCCTCAGAGTGGGACTTAATTTGCACCTTCTCGCAGCTACTGACTTCAGCCATAAATTATGCTGCACACGTAGAGTGCAGGAACGGATTTTCTATCGCTTTCGTTTCCTACGAGGCGGAGACCCAAAGGAGCGGCCAGTCGCCTACCTGCCTTCCACTTTCCGGGCGGGAACTGCTGCGCATCCTGCAGAGCGGTTCGTTGCCCGCTCCTGTTTCCTCCCGACCTCACCTACGGGTGTTCTTTCCTCTCGGAGTCTGACCCGCCTGGCTCGTCTGGGACGGGTGGCAGGCGATTGGGGGCGGGGGAGGAACCTTCAGAGGCGGAGGGACCTGAGGTGGGCGGGGCTCTTCCCCCAGAGCGAGAGAGTAGGCGTAGCCAGGGCGCAGGTGAAACCGACTCCAACCTATCCCGGGAACTTTCGCTGCAGGGACTCGCTGCGAGAGGTTCGCGTCGCGCCAGGGCGCCCAGGGAGCCGCCCTCTCCCACTCTGGCTGTGCGCGGGGATTGACCTGGGGGCCGCTCCTCTGGAGACCCGCAGCCCGCCTGCCGCGATCCGGGGATGCAGGTAGCACCGGGCACCGCGTCTGATGGAGGCGGGTGGCGCCGCCCAGGGCGCAGGTGACACACTCCTAGCCAGGGTTTCTCCTGGCTGGGGAAAGCGCCTGAAGGGCGAGACGCAAACACCCTGGGGACAAGGAACCAGGCAGCGATGGCCCGGGAGCTGAGCCAGGAGGCACTACTTGACTTTCTGTGCCAGGCTGGGGGGCGAGTGACCAATGCCGCTTTGGTGAACCACTTTAAGAGCTTCCTCCGAGATCCGGACGCGCCCCCTAGCCTGCACCAGCGCCGCCGCGAGCTCTTCAAAGGCTTCGTCAACTCAGTCGCCGCAGTGCGCCAGGACCCCGACGGCACCAAGTACGTAGTGCTCAAGAGGAGGTACAGGGACCTTTTAGGGGAGGAAGGGCTGCAGAGACCCCGCGACTCACCCGCGGCCGCCGCCCCTGCAGGGGGAGCTGCGCCCTGCGCTCGGCGAGGTGAGCCGCAGTCCCAGCCCAGGCATCTGCGTGACAAGGAGCGACAGGAAGAGCCAGCAGGTGCCTCAGCGCGAGTCACGAACGCAGGTTGCAATGGACTGTCGGCCAGCCGCGTCCGGGAGGCGGTCCCGGGAGGCGGCAAGCCGAAGGTCAGCTCCAGCCAGAGGGCGCCGGTGCCAGTAGCAGCGGCGGCGCCTGCCCAGTCTGGAGTGCGGTGCGCGGCAGCGGGGACGCAGGGCCGCTGCTGCTGGGAATGCCTACACAACGGCTTAGTGGGTCTCCCAGGTGAGCCGCACCTGGGCGCGTTCTCAGACCCCGCCACCAACCGACAGAAGCCAGCGCGGGCTCCGCTTGCCCAGGATGACTGCGGGGCTCCGGAGCAGCGTCTGGAAGGCGTGCCGCCTAAGCCAGCGCAGGAGCCGATAGTTACCCCCTCGCTTCCGGCGACCGTCGAGGCTCCCCGGAGCGGGGTTTCCCCGCCAGCTCTCCTGCCTCGCCCTTCTCCCATGGGAGACCAGCCAGAGCTGTCGGCCCCAGGCGCCCTACACTATTCGACCTTGCAGCAGCAGCGCACTCTTGAATGGGTGGCTAGACACCCCCAGATGCAGGGGGCCCGGGACCAGAGCCCCATCCGCGCCTGGTCAGTGCTGCCAGACAACGTCCACCAGCTGCACTTGGAGGCTGGCCCGCCTCTTTCTTCTCACTCACTCTTTCCTGTTGTTCCCGATGTGTCCTCAGAATCCCGGTCTGGTAACCTTCCCTTGACAGTCTTTCGTAGCATCCGTTGCCAGTTATCCCTCCAAGATCTGAATGACTTTGTGGATCAGGATAGCCACGGCAGTGAGGAGAGCAGCAGTGGGCCCAAAGAGTCCCCCGGGGGTTCTGAAGACAGCTTGCAGGTTACCCTGGGAGCCCCAGATTGGGGAAAGCTCAGGAGTCCCGCTGGAGGCATTTCTGTATCTCCAAATGAGGGTAGCACCAGCAGGAGCCCCCAGGGCCTCAGGAACAGGGGAGAGGGACACACTTCTCAGCAAATCCCAGCAGGGGCCAATGGCCTGGCAGGCCACCCCCAGGGACCTTTGCCCTGGCCAGCTCCCAAATTAAGGCAATCTCTCCGGAGGAGCTCTCAGGCAGGGAGAGCCAAATTTTCCTCCTCTGATGAGGAGTTGACTGATGAAGACTTGCTAAAAAGGAGTCGGCGCCCACCTCGCTCCAGGAAACCCTCCAAGGCAGGGGCTGTGCCCAGCCCGAGGGTGGATGCCCCCTTGACACCAAAACCTACAGGCATTAAGGCTGTTGTTACTGAACCAGGTTGGTCACACAGCTCATGGGCCACCCATAGGGAGGGGCCTACAGCCTTGGGCATGCACAGACCTGAGCACAAGTCATCCTTAGTGCCCCTAGATGCCAGGGAACATGAATGGATTGTGAAGCTGGCCAGTGGCTCCTGGATTCAAGTGCTGACCTTGTTCTCGGAGGACCCCCAGCTGGCTTTGCACAAAGACTTCTTGACTGGGTACACTGCTTTGCACTGGATGGCCAAGCATGGCAACCTCAGGGCCCTTCAGAACTTAGTCTCAGGAGCACAGAAGGCAGGGATTGCACTTGATGTAAATGTGAGGTCCAGTTGTGGGTACACCCCACTGCACCTTGCAGCCATTCATGGCCACCAGGGAGTTATCAAATTACTAGTGCAAAGGTTGTCTTCTAGGGTGAACATTCGAGACAGCAGTGGAAAGAAGCCGTGGCAGTATCTGACCAGTAATACCTCTGCGGAAATATGGCAGCTACTGGGAGCCCCTCAATGCAAGCCCATTTCCCCTGTCTATCCATTAGTCCAAAGTTCTTCGCCTACCAGGAAGACCAAGAGCAGGGAAGTATCTAGAAGTGTCACCCGGAAAACTTCCTTTGCTGCATTACTCAAAAGCCAACACAGCAAGTGGAAATTGGCTAACCATCATGAGAAATTCCCCACTCCAAGGGAAAGGGAAGAGTATAGTGACTGAGGGAGCTCTGTAGCGTGGTGCTTAACGCACTTGACTGCTAACCGGAAGGCTGGCAGTTCAAACCTTCCAGCCACTCCTCGGAAGGAAGATGAGGCAATCTACTTCTGTAGTGATACTGCCTCAGAAACCCAAGGAGGGGTCATTATGAGTCAGGTCCGATTCAATAGCACATAACAACAATGACAACATAGTGACTGAGGTGGGTCCTTCTCTCCAACATGCAGCCACTATACCATCAATTTTGAGCTGCTCAATAAGAGAATTCATGGGGAATAGAATAATTGCCAAGGAGTTGGTAAAGAGAGAGTTCAAGTGAGATAGCCCAGTGTTTGTCCCCCTGGATTTTATGTGAGCAGATCTTGGTCCCTAAGGTTCATCTAAGCTTGAAGGCTCTAGTCCTTGGGTGAGTGAAACCTGGGCAAAGAGTAAAATCAGGTACTCAAAACCCAGGAGGCATTCTTTCTCTTTCCTCACCACCACTGATCTGGGAACAGTAAGCCACATTGTTTCCTGAAACAGCTATCCCAGGCTTTGGCTAGAGAGAGGACAGATGTCTAACAAGAGAGAGTTAATTCAAGGAATTCATGAAACTCAAACAAAATCCTCTTTGGCTAGTAGCTCTCTGGCTCCTGTTCATTTGGAGAATACATCTTGGCTGAGTGTGGAAGGTACCAGATTTGAAATCAGATGGCTCCTCTTTTGGGCATTCAAATCAATAAAATAAAAATTATCACTGGAGAGTAGTCTTTGCTTTAAAAAGATTCCTCATCACTGTCCCTGAGTCTCTCTTTGGGTGTGATCCATGGTGGCTAAAGTGTGAAATGTTTAGTGCTTTTTTGGGTCTCTTTTCCACTGATCAGAGAAGCAATTGGGTAAGATCTATTTACAACCTTGACTCCATGACCTAGAGGAATGGCTGATAGTTAGGTCTTGCTTTTTTTGTGTGTTAACCCCAAGGGGAACTTACCAAAACATAAAAAAAGAAAAGAAAAGAAAAAATGAGGTTCATTTGTATAGTGACTGAAACCATTTTTAATAGTATCAAACTCCTGTGTTACAAACAACAGAATTATAGTTAGTAGTTTTCAATAAGTTTGAATGGCCAAACTTCACACTCATAAAGACACAAATGTTTTCACTCTGGAGAAGCAGTGAGGGATAAGAGGAAAATTACTCTCCACCATGAATTTTCTAAGCTGCTAGATATAATTGTACTTGCACTAAAAAATGTTGCCAATGAAGATTAAACTTTAGCCTTGAAGTACTGTATATCTAACAGGAAGAGCTCCTTTTAATTACTTGTGAAGGGACCAGTCATTGTGGGTCAATGAAATGAGAATGACTAATCCATAAAACTGCAGTAGCACATGTGCATTTCAGAATGCAAATTCCCAAAGGGCTAGAAGGCTGAAAAAAATATGTTTAAAGTGAAAAATACTGATTATTTTATGGAAATGATTTCATGTACGTTGGCTATGATGCTGTATTTTAAAGTACTTTTGTGTTTGTTCTGGTTATTTTCTCCCACGAAAATATCAACAGATCTTTATAATTTATTTCACACACACTGATTACTGTTAACTTTGTTCTTTCAGAACTTGTCTCTGTGTCAAATATTTTTGCTTCTTTATATTTTACTTTATGATTTTGCTGAAATAAATATATCTCTATTCTACTAGAAAACAGAACAGTAGATGTGATAAAATCTAAGGACCACATAACTGGCAAACCAAATCAAGAAAAACAGAGGCAATACACAGACAGTGGGACATAATTAAGAGAGATGACAATTTAAGAGAATACAAAGTAACCATCTATGCAAATACTCTAGTAAATAATTTTTCAAGGAAAAGATTATAAAATATCATTGTCTTTTTAAAATGCATTTTATTGAAATATAATTTATGTACAGTGAAATACACAAAACTAAAATGACATGGGTAATGCATTTTTTCTTTTTTTTTTGAAGTGTCCCCCCCTCCTCTCCCATCCCTGGCAATCAACAAAGAAAATTTTCCTCCATATATAAACCTTTCCTTGACCCTCCACAACAACTAACTAATACTATATTTGTCCTTCTGTAATTGACATGTCACTCAGCATAATGTCCTCCAAGCTCATCCATATTATGTGGTGTTTTGCAGACTCTACATTATTCTTTAGTGCTGCATTGCATTCCATTATGTGTTTGTACCATAGTTTGGTCATCCACTCTTCCGCTATAAATCTTAGAGATAAGTCCCTTGCCAGATATGTAATTATCAGGAAATATGAATTTGTTGCTGTCATTTTTGTTATGTGCTTTTTCATGGTGTCGATTTCTTTGTTCCATATAATTTTCTATGCTGAGCTTGTTTTGTTTATGAATTGTGTTATCACTTCCTTCAATGCTATTGTTTTAGTATTTGCTGAATATTTATGCTGGTCCTCTTTTGTGATGTGAAGGTTTATTGTTTTTCTTTGAGGTTACCTTGTGATTTATAGTTTTCTTCCCAAGTTTAGAACAGTGCGTTCTATCCTGTGGTTGTCTTGACTTCCTTACCATCTAGAAGTTCTGTAACGACACAGTTTTTTCCTTCTTTGTGGTTTGTAGTTGTCTTCATTTGTCAATTGATGTCTCTGGTTCCCTGTTTACAATCTTATAGGCTTCTTTACTTTGGATACTTCCATAGCTGGGTTGGTTTCTGGGTTATATCATTATGTGTGTTATGTTCAGTTGTTGTTGGCTGTTATAAAATATCAACATCTTTTAAAAACCAAAGAATGTTTTTACTTTACCATCTTATTATCATTACATTAATTTATCCCACAAATATTTCTTGCTTAGTACTGTGGGGTTTATAAAGGTGAGTGGACTGAAACTTAAAATCTAACAATATTTGTTGTTTAATTGATTTATATTCTATCTTGCTCCCAAGATGACTTTTAAAATTGCATTACATTAGATATATTTGTGAAAATAAGACAAAGGGGGGGGGATGGTATCAGGAATGAAGACAAACAACTGCAGTGCAAGAAAAAATTGTCAAAGTGTCCTAAGTACAAAAATAAGTACCCTAGAGGATTTTGAGGGAGCTCTGGTAGCATAGTGGCTAAGACACTTGCCTGCTAACCAGATGGCTGGCGGTTCAAACCCACCAGCCACTCCCCGGAAGGAAGGTTGGGCAGTCCTACTTCCGTAGTGATACTGCCTGGGAAACCCAAGGAGGGGTCGCTATGAGTCGGGGCCGACTCAACGGCACATAACAACAACAACAACAAGAGGATTTTGAAGGAGAGAGGAAGTCCTTTGGGCTGGGAAAATCAGGGAGGACTTTAGGGAGGATACGAATCTTTGAGTGATACTAGCTTTCCAAAAGAACCAGCTTTGTGAGTTCCACCACATTCTTGGCTTCTGCTTCAGTGGTGATTTACATAGCACTTGTGTTGGCTGACTGCTCACTGGCTAGAACACAGTTCTGGGTTGTGAGTTGGTTTTCATGTGGATTCATCATATCTCCTTGGCCTTTGACCACACATAATGTCTATGACTCTGGACAACTCTTACGTAGTAAACATGCTAGGTTGGGGTGGCAGAAGAGGGTATTAAGGGCAGAGTAAAGCACATAATCTGACTCTATAACCCACGTATTAAAGTCCAGGCTAGGACGGCTGCCAGACCCAGCCTACTTTTCTATCCTGCTGTCAGCCACTTTGTGTCAAGTATCCTACACTGGAGCACATCAGATTCACTGGGGGTGCTAATGGCCCTACCCTCTCAGTTTTTGTCTTCGTGCTGAAATCCTTTAGTTTAGCAGTCCTTTCACCTGCTTTCCTGGTGAATTTACTCTTATTGTTTGAGGGACAGCTCAAATGGCATGACCTATATGAAGAGCTACAGAATTAAACACCTTCAAGCCAGAATGTATAGCTTCCTCATTAGAATTCTCATAATACTGTGCACACACCACACTTGGGCTTTTCTACATAGTATTGTTTTTAGATGATGTCAAGTTGGCTCTGACTCATAGGGACCCTATGTACAAAACACTGCCCTATCCTGCACCATCCTCATTATAGTAGATATCCCTGAGCTCACTGTTGTCAATCTGTCTCACTGAGGGTTTCCTCTTTTTCACTGATCCTCTACTTTACAAAGCATGGTGTCTGTTTTGGCTACCTAGTGCCGCTCTGACAAGAATATACCACAAGTGGGATGGCTGAACAAACAGGAGTTTATTCTCTTACACTTTGGAGGCTTTAAGTCCAAGTTCAACTTACAACTTACTGAGCGGTTGACAGTGGTAGACAGGCGCCTTCTAGTTCTTCTGATCTCATATTCATATAGGCTGAGGATCGCATTGTGTGCCAGTCACCAAAGCTGCTTCTTATATATAGGAAACTACTCTGCTGCTTGTGGTAGATCCCACCATGGAGTTGATTGCCAGTCTCATCATGAGGAATAACTACCACCAGCTGCCCAGCCACTCAGCCAGGCCCAACCAAGTTGACATACAACTTTGACTACCACAGTGTGCTTCTTCAGGGGCCAGTTACTTCTGATAACATGTCCAAAGTATGTGAAAAGAAGTGTCTCCATCCTCACTTCTAAGGAGCATTCTGGCTGTACTTCTTCTAAGGCAGATTTGTTTGTTCTTCTCACAGTCCGTGGTATATTCAATACTCTTTGCCAACACCATCATTCAAATGCATCAGTTCTTCTTCAGTCTTCTTTATTCATTGTCCAGCTTTCACACCCATATGAGGTGACTGAAAATAGCATGGCTTGGATCAGGTGCCCCTTAGTCCTCAAAGTGACATCTTTGCTTTTTAACACTTTTTATTAAATTGTTTGCATGATTTAATTTTCCTTAAGATGTTGAGCATCTGGAGATTAGAAAATATGTATTTAATTCATCTACATTTAGTACATATTATTGAGCATTGATTATGTGATAAGGAAGCTCTGGTGGTGTAGTACTTAAGGCACTTGACTGCTAACCAGAAGGCTGGAGGTTCAA